TATTCTTTTTTTTTTAATAAAATAATATTTTTGTTATATTGAGATATAATTATTATTAAAAAAAATTATTTTAAACAATACTTTTACTAGATATCTTATAATACTTTTTATTGATTTAATATATTTCATCAAATATTATATTTGTATAAAAACCGTCAAATATTATGCATAAAATTTTTTCAAGTTAAATTATACTGCATATATATATTTTTAAAAAAAATCACATCTTCAAAAAACAAAACACAAACACTAAAAATCTTCAATTTTAAAATACTTATATGATTGTTTACTAGTGCAATTACATTGATTTTTTATTGTATTTTCCATAACAATATATAAGAATTATATACATTATACAATATATAAATATTGAAATGACTTGCTCATTTTTTGAAGGTTAACATGATGTTGATAAATAGAACTAACTTTCGAGGTTATTTTCAAAGCTTTGTTCTCGTTGATCTGCCCGTTTTTTTCGGACGATCTTCATCGTCACTTGGACTATAGATCGGTTACAAAAATATCAGCTTTGTATGTCAAATATACTGTATCTAACCTAGACCTTGTATTCAAGGTCAGTGTAAGAATGATCAGAATTAATTTGGATTTTTCGACCACATCGGACTCCATCAAATCATTCCGTCACAACCCACAGGAACAGCCCTTGGGTTATCGGGATATGCTATCGTCATCATGTAAGAAATATCCGCGAATAATTCCTGCTATTTGTATTTGCTTGCGTCCCTCTGTTTCTTCATTGAGTTTAATAACATATCCTTTAGTACCTCGGGTAATTTCAACCCTCCTTTTCTAAGGTACTTCGCCCCATATTGGTTTATCCATCCATTGTCCGCCTCTCCAGCCTCAAATTCATTTTTGTAACCAATTCCAACAGCTCCGAGTCCAATTTTTCGACGATCACCTGTCTTCCTTTTTTTCGAGTGGCTATTGATAACACTCGTCCTTTCTCCTCTTTTTTGATCATCGATTACTTCTTTCATCGGGTGGGTAAGATAAAATTTAAGGCCAACAACTACCATTCCGATATAATTTCCTTTATCCAGTATGTCCAAATAATCATTACTCTTATGGCCCTGCGATTAGACGCTGTACTTAGAATCAGCGTGATAATCCCGCTCCATTTCTAATTCCATTCATTCATCACTTCCGTTCACATCAAACATTAAAGTTCTTAAGGCCTCGACCACCTTCGTCAAAATTATGTTTGTGGTAGGTGAAGAGGACTTGAATATTTAAAATGGGTAAAAATGGGATGAATACTCTCACCGTCCTCACTCGGTCGTTATTTCTATAAATAATTAGTTTTGTCGATTTCCAACCTTTCAACCTAACAGAGTACATTTACCTCTTGACCTAATAATAATTCTGCACCAAAAGTCTCCCAATAATTCCCGTTCCGTTTATAGTTCAAACTGTTTCGCAAGTTACATATGCGCGATATTTATGTAGTGGTCGATGGAGGTGGACATGATTACGCGAACGCCATCCTCCCATCTCCTTGCCAATTTTTATGATCGGGTTTAGGCTCCTAGCAATATAATAGTTAGAAATATTTTTAACTAAATCCATCCGGTTTCTCATCTCACCGAACATCAGCCAGGCCAAGAGGTTGTCTGCGCCCCAATGGGTTCGGTGTTAGATTTTTCATAACAGTCAATGAATGTGCTCCAACACTGGTTTGATCTTGAATGGTAAGAAGCTAAAAGAATTCCCGCTACGCCGCACTTGCACATTTTTTAATTAAAAAATAAACAAGATTTCCTTTGTAAATTTTCGCGTGACTTTTACGATATATCTCTACTTTTAGTCGAAACGGTTCTGCTTACACTCGGGTATGTTGACATTTATTGCGTAATTTGGAAAAAAAAAAAAGATATATACAAGACGCGGATTTCACGTGATCATGTGACCATAGGTAGCCATCAAATCTAGGCAGATCTCAACAAAACTTGTGTGCTCGGCGATACCTTCCAAATCGAAAGGTCGGCAGGTTTTTTGGATCTATAATCGGTCATAGGTAACTATGTGGCATGTTTTGCAAATACAGTGCTTTGGTACAGTCGAATACAAAGTTCAAAGGTACGAACGTTGCAATCTTTTTTTTTTTGATGTTCACAAAACTAATAATTATATGGAATACTAGATTTCTACTGAATTACATGACAAACTCAAAACAAATAAACAAATATCAGCCAATCACTCCTACGAAAATTTTTTTGCTCAGAGATCAGGCTATGTTCTTTCTTGATCTTAGGTTGTACCTTCCGGGCGTTGAAACTTCGGAGTTAATGGTTTCTGCCTTCTTAATGGCTTGCGTGTCATAATCATCGCCGGCGTTGGCCTTCAGTGAGAGGCGGTTGATGGTTGTGGTGCGATCTTTTTTGATCTCTCTTGATTTTTGAGATACAGCCATGTAAGTTCCAAGGATACGATCCCAAACGGTGAAAAATGGCTGCGAAAAATTCATCTTCATTCCATAGCTCTGATGGTGAATATCATGACTTTTTTTAAAAAAAATTACATCAAATATCAATTAGCGACATGATTGGCCAATAAGAATCGAAGAGGAGTCATTAAAATTTGGAAATTCTTACTAAGCGCTATTGTTTCCAAATATCCTCTGGATGGGATTAAACGGCAAGTAATAACCGCAATGATCATCAACTGGAAAATTCATCATAGAAAAAGATTATCTGAAGTTTTCTTTACAAATAGAGTCACACACACAACAAAGATTTCAGGTTGCCAAATTACCGGTTTTGAAGGTTGCGAACGCGAAAAATGCCATCGCACCTCTCGTTGTCATCCCGGAGATCGCGAACGCTATGACGGCACCAAGGGAGTCGAATAAAAATCCTTCGAGCGGGTGATTATAGAGTGCACCGAAGGCATAAGGAGCATATAATCGATGATGTATTGAATGTATGTGGCGATAAAGAAATTTGTTGCTGTGGAACAATCGGTGCATAAAGTACTGCCAGGTATCCAAAAGAAACCTAAATTATCATTGCAACGACAACTTGATAAGCGTTCGTTAAAATAGGAAAGTCATTTCCGTAATAAAATGATGATAAATACAACTTACATTGCTAACACAAATTTCAAAATGGGTATGATATACCAATAGGTAGCTTCAATGATAACGTCCTGGTATGGTTCGATTGGTTGCCACACGTAAAGTCTCGTGGCACACGTTTTCAGCATTTGACCGATGTGAAACATTTCGACTCTGTCGTCAGGCAGAATGTCTTCCTCCTCGGCGATCAACACCAGCAAACCCAGCAAAGTTTGCAGGAATTGCTGCAGCAATACGGCTTTAATCACCTCGCTCATGGAAACCTTGTTCCTCGTCTCCACCTCTATCAAACTACGAATTCGATATTTATCAAATAGTGGAACTTTATATACCGAAATTAGATGATACATTCCGGAATATAACCAGTAGATGACAATGGGAAGTAACAGGGAGAGGTGTTTGTCCGATATAAAAGGAAAAAAAGGCGTCGGATGAAGAACCGTCGATGACATGTCGATGGTTGCATTCGTGTCCATTGTAATTAGTTTTAAAAAAATTTAAATTAAGGAAAAAAAAAAAAAAAGAAAAAGGAATTGGACGCGGAGGATGCGCAAATGAAAAGTTTGGAGAAGCAAGGTGTAAATTTAAATTCATTTTTATATACACATATATATACGTGCTTGTACAGTATATTACTCTGCTCTAAATCAGGATGCATTGTATTGCCTGACCTGATAATTCGATTCCGACTTAGCATTGTTATACTTAATGGTCCATGATTCAGCCAATCAAAAATTGGTACAAAATAGAATTCCTTTTCCGGAAAATCTTCAAGTCCGTGGATGTAACGTATCTAATCCGTGAAACCATAAATAAAACTTGGAATAGAATAAACAAATAAATTTTTATGGCGATATACTTAACAGGTGTAACCATTATATTCTGGGAGCCGTAGATTTGCAATTTTATGTAATGGTGAATGAAGTTAGCTAGCCTTCACGGTAATGCTCGAATTGTAAAGGTCATACATATTAAATATGCGATAAATTACAAAAGAGGATCGCTCGAAGATTATTAGAAAAAAAAAAAAGGAATAACCGCTGAAATAATTTAATGCAACTTGTTTTAATGTCTAAAAAAAAAAAATCGTTGCACAATTATGGTTCAATTGTCATGTGAAATTTCCCGTGGCTTGCTTTACAGGTGCCTCCAATTTCACCCGATCCCTCTAGAATCATGATAGTGATATATGATGTGATGACGGACGGTGTCAGCTTCGATATGACCGAACCTCAAAGTCGCCAAAGCACACTTGCTAACGAAACATATTATCTGCCCATTTACCCATCTTTCGATTATCCTTAAATAACATTTGACCGGAGACCCTCAAATTTGTCAACCGTTTTTTCACGATGCTTTTATTTATTATTCATTGGAGCGGGGAATCGTTTTGCATTCAGGGTTCCGGTTTCTCCACTTACTAAAACCCCAACAAATGGCATTATATCCCAGTATAAAGAATAGTTGGCGTTCACTTGACTTTAACGCAACAACGAATTGGTTCAATTAGAAAAAATTCGTGGTAATTTTTGAAACTTGAACGATGAACTCACCCAAAACTAGTCGTAATATCCACAAAGTTATACTCGTTATGCATGTCTGCTTTGATATGGGCATCTTCTTTTGATTGAATGATTGTATCCCATAAAACAACTTGGTTAAGACTCTAATTACAATGAAACATTGTGATGCACATCATCAATCGATTGTAGAGTGAACCGCAAATCTAACAAGTTTAAAAATGTTGATTCTTTACGCACGTGTGTCTCCGTCTCGTACTCTGCAACGACTGAGACGAATAGTTGTTTCGTGTTCCAATTAAACAATGAAGTCAGGTCTTGGAAAAATTTAATCCAAAAATTTGCAACTTGATTTAATATAGTTCCAAATTCAGCATCGTAAACATAGAAGTGCACGAGTTTAACGAGAACCAACCAGCATCAACTTTCAAGTCTACGAACGCGAATTCACTCTGGCTATGGGCATGGCTTTGGGCATAGTCGTATATCCAAACTTGCAGCTCCTTAATATCGATCTTGGCCGTGGGAGAAGAAGGTATGAAAAGTGTAACGAATGCTACGGCTCCAAGTAAACCAAATATCACGGTCGTAGAAAAAGCTAATAACGCATTAGCACGTTGCGCAAGACTATACATCATAGATGGGTGAAAGGAGAGGGCGATTCGATAGGGAAATACTACGTTATTATGTGTTGACGGGTGATTGGATGTGGTAAATCGTTTTACACTATAGAAATTCCCTTTAACCGGAAATAATCTTGTAAATGTGATTGGCTGTTACACGAGGAAGCGAAATATCCGCAAATATCCAACCGAACGATCTGATTTTTTTTTTTACATAATTTCTTTGTTTTCATAGTAAATTGATCGTATTAAAATAGTTCGAACATTTATGGTTAATTTATACATCCGCATTTTTTTTCTAATTACCTTTAAAAGTAATTTTTGCTATTAGTCCAAATGAAATATCCAGCACTTTTACTATTTTTAATCTATTGTAAATATCAATCTTGTTAACAAAGAAAAGGTCACAGTAATTGTTTATAAAAATAGAAACCATTTAAAAAAAGAAATTTTTTGCTAACGTAAACATAAAAAATGCAGGTTATAACCCTCCATAAATTAAAAATGTCTCTCATTTTTCAAATTATTTTAAATAACAAAATATACAGTTACTTTCAAAAGCTTATCATGGTTTTATTATAAATTTCAACTTAATTTTATAATTAAAAATTATACAATTTATATATATTATGTCTTAACAAATGTTCTATTCTCATATTTTTTAAAAAAAATTTTTTTTATAAATAAGTTCTAAAGCTTTATTATTATTAATTATCATATGATTTATAATAATAGTTAAAATTAATTTATTTTTATTTTTTTTTTTTTAATTAATCCACAGTCAGGTCAGCATGGCTTGTCTTTATTGTATATATATCAGATATTTACAAATTATTTTGACTTTCAC